ATTCAACAATATAATATACAAAAAATGTTTAAAATTTTTATTTTTACAGAGGTAATTGTGATTTTGTTTTCTAAAAAGTCACAAAAGAAAAGTTTCGATAAAAAGATGCCTAACATGAACAAAAAAAATACTGTGAAAAAAATTAAGATATGATTTTAAAGTTGTTAAGATTGTTAAAGTCTTATTGGAGTTATTCATAATTAATTTTTTTTAGTTTTCACACCTTCTAAAGCCAATTTCCTAACTACCCCTTAATGAAATTAATACAATTTGTAGTGGGCATAACACTTCTATCCAAGACTCTTGAAAAAACCTTAATCCACCACAAATTGTGAATCTAGAAAAACAGAATCATTTCACCAATGAATCGATGTTAAAGATTAAAAAAAAAATCATAGCAAAATGATAAAGAGAATTAGACAAAAAATACAATAAAGCATCAATTATTCTCTCAAGATGATTCAAAATTCCATTGAAATAAACACAAAGATACATTCAAACATATTTCTTGAGATGATGTATCTGTCTAGGTAAATCAAAATCATATTACAATTTCTCTGATCAATATTTTTTTTTATAAATGTGTTTGATGCAATAAAAAAGATAATAATTATTTTTTAGACAATCGTAGTGAATACTGATGAAGACATATAAGTTAGAGATTTGTGTCAAATAAAATGTCTTCTATATGCTATAATTTTATCAAAAGTCTATTTCTTTTTTTCATATAACATTGTATATGTCCAATGATTTGCTACAAGTGTTTAATCTTCTAATATAGATAATTATTTACTATAAACATCAAATTTATGTAATTTAAATACACAATTTGTGAGTCTTATATAATATTTTAAGGTTCTTCAAAACCAAAGGTATGAGAGACTACCATGTTACATCCATTCTTTTATCATTTGGCATTCGAATTACATATTGAAAAGAAAAATGAAAATTTTGTGTTAATAACTTGACAATTAAAATCCAACAATTTAATAGCTAATTTCAATATTAAATGTGTTATTGTGAAATTTTAATGGTTTGAAAAATATTTTATTTGTTAAATCCAACAATATAATATACAAAAAATTGTTTAAGACTTTTATTTTTATATAGTTAATTTTGATTTTGTTTTCTAAAAAGTCACAAAAGAGAAGTTTTGATAAAAAAAGCCTAACATTGAACAAAAAAAATGCTTTGAAAAAAACTAAGATATGATTTTAAGATTGTTAAAGTCTGATTGGAGATATTCATAATTATTAGTTTTTTAGTCTTCACAACTTCTAAAACCAATTTTATAACTACTCCTTAATGAAATTAATACAGTTTGTAGTAGACATAACACTTCTATTCAAGACTCTTGAAAAAACTTTAAGCCACCACAAATTGTGAATAAAAAAAAAAAAATCATTTCACCAACGAATCGATGT